GCAAGGCTCGATTTGCCTAATAAGCCAAGTTTTCATGAATTAATGTTTTTCGTCTACATAACCTACCTAACCTAACCTAACCTAGCTTTTTTTGGCTACCTACCTAACCTTACCTATATATATAGGTTAGGTTAGGTTAGGTAGGGTTGGTTAGGTTCGGTCATATATCTTCGTTAATTTTAACTCCAATAAAAAAAATGACCTCATACATAGTGAAAAGGGTAGCTTTATCATTTCATAAGAAAAAAATTATAGTAAATAAATTAATTCAGGAAAACTTGGCTTATAGGCAAATCGGGCCTTGAATAGTAGGCTGAGAAGTGAGTTCTGGCTACTAGGTACGACATATATATATATATATATATATATATATATATATATATATATATATATATAATATATATATATATATATATATATATATATATATATATATATATATATATATATATATATATATATATATATAAATATATATATATATATATATTTATATTTTATATATATATTATATACACATACATACATACACACACAAGAGTTCTAATATTCTTGTACAGCCTCTAGTACGCATAGCATTTCGGGCAAGTCCTTAATCCTAGGTCCCTTGAATACGACCTCCACGAAGAATTGTTTTTACAACCAAGTACCCATTTTACTGCTGAGTTAAACAGAGGCTACAGTTAAGGATTTGCACCCAGTAAATCTTTCCCGGCCAGGATACAAACCCAGGACAAAGCGCGCCAAGCCAGGTCGCCAGGCGAGCGTCTTACCACTACACCATAGAGACTGCAAATGCAGTCTGGGTGATGTGTATTGCCCTTCCTTTCTGTGGTGGTTTGGGCTTCCTCCAAGTATGATTCCGGGTTCCTTTGGGCTCTTCAGTTTCGTTCAGGAGATTTTCTTCCTCTCAGGTCCCATTTGGGGCTTTTGGAGGCCCTTGGTTACCTCCTGTGCACCCCAGTCCATCCTCTTCGGGGGTTAAGGGGGATCTTCTTGGCTTGCAGACTGCTCTTTTTGGGTCTGGCACATGTTTTGTGATCATGCCGGGGCTTTAGGTTTTGTTGTCGAGGTGGGCCTTTAGTGCAGCTTTTGTGCTGGTGTTCCCTCTGCTCGCCAGTCGGCTTCTTGCCTTTTTCTGTTTTTTTTTCTCAGAGGGAGCGCCAGTCCCTTTGCTGTTGATGGGGAGATGGGTATAGTTCGCTCTGTTTGCTCATGCCTGGTCCCATGATTCGTGGACATTTTCAGTCATGTCATATGGCCTGTGGTGGCATTGGGCGGTTCCTTCACCTTTGGGGGGGTGGGGGGTTACTGGCTGGCGAGGCAGGCTTCTTCCCCTGCACTTTGGCAGGTCCGTCTTGGAGTGGATGCGCTTGGGTGTGGTCAAAACGACCCCGTCCCTCAGGTGGGTTTTCCCGCCTGTTTCCAGTGCCAAGACAGGTCTATGTGGATCTGAGGTTCATTCTGGACTTGTCCCATCTGAATCCCTAGATTCCTTGCTGTCCTTTCAAATGACCACTCTTTCTCAGATCCGGCTTCTTTTGGAGCCTGGTGCCTGGATGGTGTCCCTGGACCTGAAGGACGCATTTTGGCACATCCCTATTCATACGGGATTCAGGGACTGGCTAGGTTTCGTGGTAGTGTCAGACTTCCCGCTTTCCTTGCCTTCCTTTTGGCTTGAATCTGGCACCTCGCATATTTTTTTTTTTTTTTTTTAGATATATACAAGAGTTGTTACATTCTTGTACAGCCACTAGTATGCGTAGCGTTTCGGGCAAGTCCTTAATCCTATGGTCCCTGGAATACGATCCCCTGCCGCGAAGAATCGTTTTTTCATCCAAGTACACATTTTACTGTTGCGTTAAACAGAGGCTACAGTTAAGGAATTGCGCCCAGTAAATCCTCCCCGGCCAGGATACGAACTCATGACATAGCGCTCGCGGAACGCCAGGCGAGTGTCTTACCACTACACCCCGGAGACTGCTATTCACGTGTCTTACCTGGGTCGTGGTAAACCGTCTGCTTCTGCTAGGGGTTTGGGTCCTGGTCTATCTTGATGACTAGATGGTGATTGATTGATGAAGATTAAGCCACCCAAAAGGTGGCACGGGCATGAATAGCCCATAAGTGGTGGCCCTTTTGAGCAATTACCAGTATCAAGAGCTGATACTGGAGATCTGTGGAGGTGCGACTGCACCCTGCGTGACGGGAGATGTCTCCCATGGTGAATGTGTTAGAATAGCTGGTGTGGGCTCCCAGTTGGTCTGCTTGCCTGCTCGCCAGGGGTGTGGTTCTTTCCCAGCTCGCCGGGTTCTGGTTCCTGGTGAACTGGCGAAAGTCCCATCTAGTTCTGTCCCAGGTTCGGACCTGGCTGGGTCTTGTTGGGACACTCTGACCGATTCCATGTCTCTTCCTCCTGAGGCGTTGTACTTTGCCGTGCTGGTCCACCCGGTGGGTTGGGTTTGGCTTCGGCGTCTGTTCAGGTTCCTTTAGAGATGCCCTTTCTGCTTCTCATGCGATTGCTGGGTTCATACTTCGGGGCCCTTGCATCGGTTGCTGCGTCACCGGCTTCCTCTTCAGGGTTCAGTGCCTTGGCACCTACCCGAACCCTTGCTCGATGTTTAGTTAGTTTAGTTCATTTATTATGCACCCCATACCCATCTTGTGGGCGGTAGTGGAAAGAGTTACAGAGGCACATAATGGGCTCAGGGACTGAACCCCACAATTCATTTAGCTAAGCAAGTTACAATCTTGATGATCTAGTTACAAAATTCAGTATAAGTCGTCACATCAACAATAGGTTCGAGATCGACCGCAAGTACTGTTTCTAAATTAAGCAACTGACATATGTGGAGAGCTAGTGTCACAATTGATATGTTTGTCCTGCACACCGCCCCCCATCCAGTGGGCAGCGGTAGATAGGTTACAATTACTTAGTTACTACCTACAGTTAGCAAACTGGGGATATTTGGCTAAAATTTCTGGTAGCAAATCATTTTGAATGAAATATTTACACATCGTTGGAACATTGGCTATAGAATTGTCTCTAAATTCACGTATCTTTTCGCACTCCATCACATAGTGATGGAGGGTGTGCGAATAATTTTGTTGACACAGTTTACATTTGGTCAGGTCTACATCAGCAGATAATGAGAATTCCCAGAGATACTTGTAACCGAGTCTAATCCGAGCAGTTGAAACATCTAGAAGTCTGCTGATTTTATTGGATGAACCATAGATGTGTGGCTCCTCTTGCATGATAGTATGATGATAGATGGAATTACTGGTGTCAATTTCACTTTGCCTCAGATCTATAAGATCTTGTTGAAGTTCTCGGTGTACTGCTGCTCTCCGATTGCTCATTGACAATCCTAGGTTACACTCAACGGCTCCTTTAAAGCCAGATGCCCAATATGTTCACGGACACATCGTCTCTCGGCGGAAGCATTGTGACCAGTGCTTGCCAGGCCAGCCAGGGGCAATGGGGTCCATCTTTCCGTCGGGCTCAGAGCCCGGTGCGGGAGTTGGAGGCGGTTTGGCTTTTGCTTCAGAGGGTTCGGGTCGCTCGGGGTTTGAGCGGTCTGTGGCTACGCCTCTTCCAACAGGTTGGATTGATCCAGTACAGGACTGGTTCAGTCTTCTCTGCTCTTCACATCTGGTCTTTTTGACGTGGGTTTATCACCATTTGTGTGGTGATCAGATAGCTTCGTTGATGATGTCCCTCCTGAGAGCTTCGTCTCGGCGACAGTATGACGTTTCCTGGCGTTCTTTCCACCTTTTTCTCTATTTGGAAAAAAGAGACAGAGAATAGCCGTTCGTTATTTGGTTAACATTCCTGCTCCTGGGTGTTTATGTATTGTTTTGAGTTGCAGGTTGTAGCCAGTTGTCTAGACTTTGCATTGAGAAGTTTGTGGCAGCCTCCTCAAGAGTATGTTCCTCTTTTCCTTTGATTATACAGTATAGCTCCAGGGAGCCGTAGGGGCTCCCCACAGAAAACTACCGTTAAATGTAATAAACGCCATTTTCTGGGTGAGCACTCCTCCCTCCCTCCGGTCGGTAGTTTTTTGTGTTGTTTGATGCTTAGCTTCTGAACTGGAGTGCTCGGTAGCCAACGCGGTGAGGTCTGGGGCTCCCCCTCCTCCTCTCGGGGAGGGGAGGACTGCGTGGATAAGCAGTGCAGCAGTACTTGCCTAGTTGTGTTTGCGGGGGTTGAGCTCTGGCTCTTTGGTCCCGCCTCTCAACTGTCAATCAACTGGTGTAGAGATTCCTGAGCCTATTGGGCTCTATCATATCTATATTTGAAACTGTGTATGGAGTCTGCCTCCACCACAACAATACTTAATGCATTCCATTTGTTAACTACCCTGACACTGAAAAAATTCTTTCTAACGTCTCTTTGGCTCATCTGGGTACTAAGTTTCCACCTGTGTCCCCTAGTGTGAGTGGAGTGGCGGCGTTTGCTTGTTTCCCTGGGATTGGAGGGAGTTCTGCCTCTTTTCGGTTTTTAGTTGTACTTTTCTTACCATGTGGGATTTGTTTTGTTATGCCTACCTTTCTGGGTGCCTAACCCCGGTCGATAACAGATAAGGAAAACCCCCAACAACAGGGGGGGGGGGTCTTCCAGGGCTGTTGGTTCTCTGAACCTCTCTGAGGGGGGCCAAGTTCTGGCTCGTGGTCCCCGGTAGGCTGAACTTCATGGACTAATGCCCCAGTCTAATATCACACATTAGTTCGATAGGTCCAGGGAGCCTTTGGGGCTCACCCAGAAAATGGCGTCTCATTACATTCAATGCTGTTTTTTTATTAGAAGAACTTTCTGTAAATGATTGAAATACAATTTTGGTCTTAGTAATTAATACATCAGTTTAAGATAAGAAGAAGCTGTACAGATGAAGAATTCAAATACAGGAAACTGTCTAGTAAAGTTTTAAAATATATATCTGTAATTAAATTTATGGTGGCTTAACAGATTTTAATTTATGTAATTGTTTTTTCACCAGTATCTACTTGAGATGAAGCCTCTCATTCTCCCACCAGAGCACATCCTTAAACGAGGGGATTCCGAAGCTATTGCATATGCTTTTTTTCATCTTCCACACTGGAAGAGGGTAAGTGTATATGGTTAACTAAAGAGTAAAATAGTACTGTATATAAATAAGGGTTTTAAGTTTTTGTTAAAAGTTCTTTTCTGAGCAGAATGCTTAGTTTTTCAACAAGGTAAGATAAGCTGTGGCTTTTGGCTAGTATTAATAACAGTTGGGCAAGGTGAAATTTTCACATTGGTGAAGGTTACCCACCTTGTGATGGTTCCGAGGATCAACGTCCTCGTGGCCCAATCTCTGACCAGGCCTCTTAGTTGGTTGTCTGGTTAACCGGGCTGTTGGGCGAGGATTCTCAGCCAGGTTGATCATGCTGTAATCCTTTGGAGGTGTTTATCATTCTTTCTTGAACACAGTGATAGGCCAGCCAGTTATGCCTTTTATGTGTAACGGGAGAGTTGAAAAATCTTGGACCATTGACGTTGATCGAGTTCTCTCTGTTTACCTATTGTACCTTTGTATTTCAGTGGGGCTGTTTTGCACATCCTGCCATGCCTACTGGTTTCCTGTGACTTTATTTCCATGTACAAACAGAACCAGTCCCTCTTATATTCATCACATGTAAATTATTATGTATTCTATCTCTTTTTGCCTGCACTCGAGATAATACAGATATAGGAAATTTTAATTGGATCCAATAATTTAGATATTTTAAAAGGTAGATTCTAGCAGTAATAGATCTTTGCATGCTCTAGGTCAGCAATTGCTCTGGCTTTGAATATTGCTGTTAGTGTACAACAATATTTCACCCTGAAGAGCCCTTATAACTTGAAAAGTATCATCATTGGTATGGCATCCCTTGTTTGAAAGATTCTTGTTACACAGTGCTTGGATACAACTTCAGTAGGCTACTTAACTCCACCCAGTACGTCTCCCAGAAGACAGCGATGGCTAAGGGTTCTCTGTAGAGGCTATTTCGATTCAGGCAAGCCCCATCCCACGTTAAGCTCCACCTGTACAGAATGATTATAAGGCCTAGCCTTGAGTACCCTTATGTCCCCCTGAACCTCACCAACAAAACCAACATGCTGAAGATCCAATGGGTCCAAAACAAAACACTTCGCTTTGCACCTGGCCTGTCGCTGGCGGACAGGGTAAGAACAGACTGGATCCACGAGACTCAACATGATGCCAATGAACACCAGGCTCAGCTATTTTGCTAGAAGGCAGCTGTACCGCATGAAGCACGTGTATGTCCCAGAACCCGAAGAACCCCACAAGGCAGTAAACACAACCAGCAACTATGAGATCCATGATTCACCACACAGAACCAGAAGAATCACTCTCCAACAAAAAGTGATCAGGCACATCCATGACCAGACCTTCCCGAGACCTCACATATTAAGGAGTCTGCCAGACGATCCAGATGAGTGGCCTATCCTGGGCACAAAGCCCTTTGGATGTAAAATTGCAAATCGCATTCTTGTTATCCAATCTGTCATTTTGTGGAGAGCCCCACCTGCTCCCGAGCTGGTATGCATATATTAGACCGTGGCATCATTCAATTCGATTGGAATTCTTAGCCTACCGGGGACCACGAGCCAGAACCTGGCCCCCCTCAGAGAGGCACAAGGAGCAATGGCCTATAGGAACCCTCATGTGGTTGGAAGCATTCTATGTCTGCCATCTAGCAGGTTTGGCACCCAGAAAGGTAGGTGTCTCAAAACAAACTACAGCTGGTTAGAAATTGTGACCAAAAGCCGAACTAGCAAGCAGAACTCCCCAAACCAAAAACAAGCAAACAAGCATGATGTCACCATCGCCGCCGTGTCACTGTCTGCGCAGCTCCTCCCTCCTGGGGAGGGGGAAGGGGGGGAGCGCCAGTCCCCCCCCGTGCCGGCTATCCAACCTCAGTTCCGAGGCTGATGTGTTGAGTGGCGGTCGTTCAACTCTGACTCCAATCTTTGAGTAGTGCTGTGCCTTGCGATGTTGTGCTGCTGTGTGGTGGTGTGTAAGCAAAGTGTAATTCGTGATGTACTGGTGTTGCATGCGCCTAAGGTTACCTTCCCTAGGTGCCCTGTGAGTACTGCCCTTGCAGTTTGAGGTTCCCTTCCACAAACTGTTCGGGAACTATCTCCGTAGGGTTCATTTGCTGCTCGGGGATTGCCCGCCCATGGGGTCAGCTGTTTTTTTTTGCCACTGTTTGACCTTGGGTAAAAGATAGTATTGGTGCTGGCAGAGATGGAAGGTACTTTGCAGCTGTCTTTTATTGCGCATAGCGGCCAATTCTGTTCCTCCTGGAGATGATGTACTTTTGCGGGGTTTTACTTTTTCTTTTGTTTTGTTTGCCTGGTGGGGTTCTCCCTGGTGTGGTTCTGCCTGGTGTGGCTACAGGACCATTGTATTATTTTGGTGGCCCTCCGCTAGGTCCCCATGATTGTACCCGTCGCAGGGGTTCAGCTTTTGTTTGTTTAATAATTTTTAGAGGGCACCCAGGTCACTTGACGGTTGCTTGAGCAGTCTGACCTTCGCCATGCTGGTTTACCTGCTGGGTCAGGTTTGGCTTAGGCGTCTGTTCTGGTTCCTTCGGGGACACCCCTTCCGCCTCTCTCGCGATCACTGGGTTTGACCTCCCTTGGCCTTTTGTCGGTTGCTGTGTCGCCAGCTTCCTCTTCTTGTTTTTCAGGGTTCAGTGCTTTGGTGCCTACCCGAGCTCTCGCTCGATGTGATCACGGATGCGTCGTCTCTTGGCTGGAGCTTGGTGTCCAGTGCTTTCCGGTGGTTCATTGCCACCGGAGAATAAACAATGATCAAAACAGATCCCCCCTTGGGTCTGTTTTGTTATGCCCACCTTTCTGGGTGCCTAACTCCGGTTGATGACAGATAAGGAAAACCCCCAACCACAGGGGGATTTTCCAGGGGCCATTACTTCCTGTGCCTCTCTGAGGGGGGGGGGGGTGAACGTTCCGGTTCCCTCACGACTGTGTGTGGCTTTGGGGCACCTGTCGCCGGGCCGTCTCTCTTCCTCGTCTTGAGATCTGTGGTGCTGCAGCCTCCCAGGTAAGTCCCTCCTTTTACTTATCTTTGGGTAGTTAGCTTTGGGGGAGCCAACAGGGCTCCCCACAGAAAACCACCGTTGAATGTAATGAAACCCATTTTGTGGGCAAACTCGGAGGTTCCCTGACACCTTCCCTCCCAGTTGGCGGTTTTCAGCATCCAGGAACTGGAGTGGCGGACTGCCGGCTGGAAGGTGGGGGGGGGGAGGTAGCACTAAGGAGCGGGAGTGCTATTGCATGAAGTATTGCTTGTTTGGTTTCTTTCTAAGGGATTTATTTTGATCTTGTCAAATCAAGATTACACAGGATAATCAGCCAGGGTTCTGTTTTGATTCGCTTTCCTGTCTGGGTCCTTCCCTGGTCAATGGCAATTATGACATAACTTTAAATGTAAAGTGCTCATAGGCCATTGCTCTCTGTACCTCTTAGAAGGGGCCAGGTTCTGGCTCGTGGTCCCCTGTAGGCATAAGGACTCCTGCAACTGATGATCCCAAACTAACATAGCACATATCAGTTCAGATAGCTTCAGGAAGTTTCTGCGGCTCGGCCAGAAAAATGACGTTTCATTACATTCAGTGCCGTTTTCTTTTCTTTTTGTCGTGTCCTTAAAATTTATATTGGTAGTAGCCTAGTGCTGTTTTAAGAAGCATCACATAAATTACAGGTAAATACACTGTCATAATTCTTCCCACAGGTGGAAGGGGCACTGAATCTCCTTCACTGCACTTGGGAGGGTACCTTCCGTATCATTCCATACCCACTTGAAAAAGGTCACCTCTTCTACCCTTACCCTACATGTACAGAGTGTGCTGACCGAGAGCTGCTGCCATGTGAGTTCCTGTCTTCCACACTCTCGGTTAACTTTATTTTTGGTATGATACCCTCTTATTTAGTGTGAAGAATATGATATTAATTGTTCTGCTGGGTCAATGTCATTTCTATTTTTGAAGCCGATGATGATAGATGCCTTGAAGGTTAACTGATGTCACCACATAATATTAAAAAAAGTTTTACAGTATTTTCATTTAAAGGCGAGACCTGTATAAAAAATCACTTAATATTGTCACTTTTCCATGTACTGTACAGTACTTGGTATTAATACTACCATAAACAACACACTTGTCACAAATTGTTGAAATAAATATTTTAAGGGTTTGATTTCAATCTTCTCTTTTTAGAACGAATTGGCAATTTTGTGTTCGGATGACACTAAAATGCATCATCTGATGCTATTCATAAGAATTTGTATATTTAGTTCTTATATTAAATATACCATACTTATATAATGAGACTCCAGAAAGAGGAGTTTCATTATATTCATCACTGGCTTCTTTTCCATCTGATTGATGTCACTATGCTAAATGCATATAATAATTAAATAATTCATTTCGTAAAGGACAAACAGCCTGTGTATATGCATACATTATGCTTATATCAAGGTTCCCCCAAGGCCGAACTACTAACCCTTCCCAGGATGCAACTCCATAACAATTGCCCAACTCTGCTAGCCACCCACAACGGCATATATCTTCTGAAGACCAGACAGAAAGCATCAGTGTACAGATTTAGTGGTGATACAATATTGTTGCTTAAGACTTGCAAAATATGCTGAACCATCATCATGTACCTGCCTGTTGGCCTGAATGCCGTGTATGTGACTCCATGTAGTACCTGGCAGACTCTGGCAAGAAGTTTTGTCTACAGCATTACGTACACTTCCTACCAACTGTTTTAAACAACATTACAGAACACATAAACTGATGATCCTACTCATCATGCTCACAGGCTGACATTGAATGTAGACCTTCCTGGGAGAAAAAACAGGAACCAAAGTTGTAAGCATTAAGGAATAATATCTTGTGGGAAATTAGAAACTCTTGAAAATGCATTAACAAAGGATAACCTGTTGAAAATGTAAACACAGGTTTCATATTTCTTGTGCACTAATTAGTTTAAACAGTGGGTTTAGAGAGGAAAGTTTTAATTGGATTTCCCTGGAAGATAAAGCAGGACTGGAGAAATTGCTTAATATTCTAAAAGCTACACCACACAGCTAGAAATTTACATTCTTAGAGAAGTTGCCAATGCAGAGTCGGGAAAAAGCAAAGTGGACATAAGGGTACACACACATATCAAACTACAGAAGCCAGTACCTCTTGAGTCACTGATAATTGAGAACCAAACCCACAGAGTCAAGAAACATAATAAGAGTTTAAAAATTGGAAATTAAACGATAAAATAGTGGGTGAAATTTACAAACTCTAGCTAGGGGAGCTGGTCGGCCGAGCGGTCAGCATGCTGGACTTATGATCCTGTGGTCCCAGGTTCGATCCCAGGCGCCGGTGAGAAACAATGGGCAGAGTTTCTTGCACCCTATGCCCCTGTTACCTAGTCAGTAAAATAGGTACCTGGGTGTTAGTCAGCTGTCACGGGCTGCTTCCTGCCTGGGGGATGGAGGCCTGGTCGAGGACCGAGCCGCGGGGACACTAAAGCCCCGAAATTATCTCAAGATAACCTTCATCGTAGCCACTGTAGCTTGCACTGTAACTTGCACTGAAGCTTGCACTTGACTATAGAACAAACCTGAGCAAGCTATGTATTAACAGGCTCCTCAACTGTATGAACACTCACTATAAAAGTAATTTTAGAAACAAAAATGTCAAGAAAATAACAGAAAAGCCAAGCTAGAATCAGAGAGAATAAAGAAAAACATCACAACAAACCAGCCCCACACTGCTAGTCTTTAAGGACTGTGGCTCGCTGAATGTTTTGGGGCCACATTCCAGTCCAGTTAATAGGCAGTTGCTCATCCGAAGGGTTCTTTGTTTTTTCTCCCTACCAATAGTTGCAATCATGTTGTTTGCATCTATAACTACACATTGTACAGCAAACTGGAATTCCTAACCATTATACTCTAATAGGTTCATTCATATTTTTTTTTAACTGACTGTTTCTTCCTTTGTGCATCTACGACTAATTATGTTTGCCTACTGTTGTGCAGAAAGAATATGTGACACCTAGGTTTTATATCTTGAGGTTATCTTGAGATGATTTCGGGGCTTTAGTGTCCCCACGGCCCGGTCCTCGACCAGGCCTCCACCCCAGGAAGCAGCCCGTGACAGCTGACTAACACCCAGGTACCTATTTTACTGCTAGGTAACAGGGACATAGGGCGAAAGAAACTCTGCCCATTGTTTCTCGCCGGCGCCTGGGATCGAACCCAGGACCACAGGATCACAAGTCCAGTGTGCTGTCCGCTCGGCCGACCGGCTCCCTTATATAGTTTATGCTATTTTAGGGAAACTACTTCACTAGAATCCTTGATAGATTGATGTGACGTTAGTACTATACAGTATTTATACATATTATTCTTGATGATTTTAGCTATATTCAAACTTATTTGAATGTCTTAGGATGCTTACATACATTGGCAATATTAAAGTTTTATATATTTAATAACTGAAGATCAACCTTTTTTTCCTATGTAGCTTTCCATGAGGTGTCGGTATATCCCAAGAAGGAGCTGCCATTCTTCATTGTGTTCACTGCTGGGCTGTGTTCCTTTACGGCTCTCCTGGCACTGCTCACACATCAATATCCGGAGCCCATGGGGGCCTTGGCCAAGACGGTGCGTTTAAGCACAGTAGTCCTCTATGTCCAGTAGTTAGTAGTCTCTTAATTCTTTATAGATGTTGTTTCTCTAATACTTCTATATCTTAGTCACATGATATTCTATTCTTTTTTCTGTATTCTTCTCTCTGTATTCTTTCTTGACAACACCACCGCACGTTGACTTGACAACACCACCGCACGTTGACTTGACAACACCACCGCACGTTGACTTGACAACACCACCGCACGTTGACTTGACAACACCACCGCACGTTGACTTGACAACACCACCGCATGTTGACTTGACAACACCACCGCACGTTGACTTGACAACACCACCGCACGTTGACTTGACAACACCACCGCACGTTGACTTGACAACACCACCGCACGTTGACTTGACAACACCACCGCACGTTGACTTGACAACACCACCGCACGTTGACTTGACAACACCACCGCACGTTGACTTGACAACACCACCGCACGTTGACTTGACAACACCACCGCACGTTGACTTGACAACACCACCGCACGTTGACTTGACAACACCACCGCACGTTGACTTGAAGTTTCTACTACCTATGTAGGGCAATAAAATAAAGTTTTCCTCAATGTATAAAACTAAATATTATAAATCATTATCAACAAGTGCTTTTATGTACTAAACTTTTACTGGTGATGAAACCAGGGTGTGTTGTAGATGCTAACCTGGGCAGAATTGTGAGCTCATGCTGTGTGCGCCAGCCTTGGTGGCTCACTCAGTACTGAGGCTCTCACACCCGGGAAAGTTGCTCACGATTTTTTTTCTAGGTGGCATCTGATAACTATCAGTCGTGACTGGACATAGCTGCCCCTATATCTCTCGCAGGGCATTTAAAATTGTGTGCTAGAGCCTCAATCGTCTATATATGTATTGCGCGGTTTTGGTAAAGTTACTCCTGTCGTCTGTATATGTAATGTTGTGGATGGGGGTTGGCTTCCATAACTTCTTCTTGTTGGTAAAAATGAGAACCTTAAACATAATACAGGGTACAAAACACAATCAAATGTGCCCATAGCAGGAAAGCAGCATGTAAAGGATTTGGGAATAATGTCTGACAACCTAACGTTTAGGGAGCATAACCAAGCAAATGTTCAGTCAGCCAGAAAAATGATCGGATAGATTACGAGAACTTTCAATTCCAGGGATCCCATCACAATGGTTGTACTATACTGTACAAATCACTTGTACTGTCCCGTCTTGAGTACTGCTCAGTACTCACTTCCCCCTAACATGATTGCGATAGCAATCTCTCATGCTCACTTCGAGCAGGAGAGATTGCTGAAATAGAGGGAATACAGAGAACATGTACGGCATACATAGATGCAATAAAGCACTTAAATTATTGGGATCGTCTCAAACCTCTCCAAATGTACTCACTAGGAAGAAGATAAGAGAGATATCAAATAATGTACCTGTGGAAGATACTGGAGGGCCTAGTACCAAATCTACACAGTAAAATAACAACGTACTGGAGTGAACGATATGGAAGAAAATGCAGAATAGAACCAGTGAAGAGCAGGGGTGCCATAGGCACAATTAGAGAACACGGTATAAATATCAGAGGACCACAATTGTTCAACACCCTCCCAGTGAGCATAAGAAATATTGCCGGAACAACCGTGGACATTTTCAAGAGGAAACTATTGTTTCCTCCAAGGAGTGCCGGACCAACCAAGCTGTGGTGGGTATGTGGGCCTGCGGGCCGCTCCAAGCAACAGCCTGGTGAACCAAACTCTCAAAAGTCAAGCCTGGCCTCAGGTCAGGCTTGGGGAGTAGAAGAACTCCCAGAACCCCCATCAACCAGGTATAGTGCATTCCGCTTGCTGACTATTCATGCACAGGATGTTGCTCACTCATTTACATCTCGGGAAGCTAGTGGCTCAATGATTTCTTGTTAAGCTTTCTTCCCTGATTTCCCTGACAAGATAATTTTTCCAAGATTATTGTCATGGTGGGGGACATAGTTGGCGAGTTCCTAGCGGGTGACGCAAATCTTAGGTGGACCATAATGGCTCTGGTTCGGGCATCTGAGTTCTATTAAAGCAATATTTAATGATAAAATTCTGAGAATAACATAACACTTATTGCCAATGGCTTCCATTACTAAGCAAACTTTTGTATTGATGTAGTACCACCAAATATTGACTGTTAACCTGATTAGTGTCTTAGTGTCTTGTCTGAGCTGAGTAAATTGAGCTCGTGTAAAAGTGGCTTTGGTTAAATTCCTTTGAATAGAGCGTACTGTATTATAATTTATAAGATACTGGCTACCTAAAAATTCATTAAAATTTGTTATTTATATTTTTCCAGCTGCTGAGCTGGTGGTATGTTCCCATCCAGTATGTTCTAGAGAAGCTAGAAGCTGTATTGCCTTCTAATCTCCTACATCACCTCTCACGAATCTGACCATCATGCTTAAGGTACAGTACTTCCATAGCTGTTGATCTTGTAGATTGTCATGTCTTGTTTTCTATGGTGTTCCTCTTCATTGAAGATCTCATCTCATTTAGTATTAACACAAGCATGTGCATTAAGCATCAACATTAAAATTAAAATAAATTTGTATAAGTTAATTATATATGAGAGAAAAGTGTATAGCATGCAAGCATGCGACACGACTGAGGTAATTCATCCTGTAACTACACTTGGGTAATTACATGTACACAGAGGAAGGGTTGAGGACTGGGGAGCTTTAGTGATTTTTTCATTTTGGAGAGATAGAGAAGCCATATCACTGAAAAAGTGGATTTAAGTGATTGACAAGCAAACAAAGAAACTTGAAAAGTTACAAAAAAAAAAATTGTTAATAAATTATTGTGGAGATAGTTGAGCCTGTGATCCCCTTGAGGACTCCACTCTGTCTTCCAGCTGTTTGGGGCCATTGATATTTGTTTGGAGCAGTGTCTTTGTTGTTGTTCTCTTCTTCAGATTTCTGGTGGAGGTTCCTGGTTCTGCTTCTGTACCCTTCTCTTCTTTTGATGTTAAACCTTGGGTTGTGAGAGCTTGTGCAACAGTTACAGCACCGCTCCTGTGCCAGGTAAGTCCACTACGGGCTCACCATAGCCCTTGTGGTGTGTGTTCCCATGCTTTGCCATACCCTGCACTACATGGACTAATTATAATGTGTGTGTCATAATTTCCTTTTCTCCTCTTCCCCTACCCCTTCCCATCATGGGGTGTTTCTAAGGACCTGTGGGTTTCCTGGGTTTGCCGCCTCCTGCTTTGAGTTCGCCGTCTTGTGTTCTCCATCTCTCGCCGTGTTCAAAAGAGATCTCGACAAGCACCTTCAAAGGATACAGTACTTGATCAACCAGTCTTTGACTTGTATGTCAGGCTGCGAGCAACTGCATCAAACAGCCTAGTTGATCAGACCAGCAACCAGGAGGCCTGCTCAGAGACTGGGCCATGGGGGGATACTAATCCTTGGAATCTTCAACAGAGTTCAATCCCAGTTCCTGGTTTACACAGTTTGCCTTCAGTTGGTTTACACAGTTTGAGTCTTCAGAATGGTTGCCGTTTGCCCTTTGGTTCCTCCTTCATTGCCGCCCTCCTTGGCCTTCAGAGTTTGCTCAGTAACTTCTTTTCTTTTTAGTTCTTGTCCTGTTCTAATCACCTCATGCCTCAGCTGGGGGTTGTGGTGGGCACTCCATTGGCAGTTGTAGGCTATGATGGCTGTATTACATTCTAATCTCCAACAGGGGCTCTTGTGGTCTAGTTCCCTCTCCTGTTCTTCAGTGTTTTTTGTCTTCTGTTTTAGGTTGATTTGGTTTCTTCTGATGTGGGGGCTGGCCACATTGCAGCTCAGCTACCGGTTTTTCAGGTTTTGGCTCTGCACGTTCTCTTTTTGTGATGTCGGCTGTGGTCGTGGACGGTCCCTCCTTGTGTTCAAACCTTGTCGGCAAGCTGGACAATTGTCAATGCATCCTTATTCCTACAGTAAGTTTTCTTCTTGGCTCTGGCCTGGGAACAATGGCTTCTGTTGTTCATTAACCCATTCTCAGTTTGCAAGAGAGTCATGGTTATCGGCTTTTCTCCTACCCTGTAATTGGAAAAGTTTTCAGTCGCTTCCTCCCTCCAGTTTAGTGCTTACCTCATTTTTGCTGCCAGAAGACACCCAGACTACCAAGGGACTGGACAAGCGGTGGGGTGATGTTTGATGTTTTAGGTTGGGGGAGTTTTGCCTCTCTTCAGTCTTTGATTGCAATTGTCTTACCATGTGGGGTCTGTTTTGTTATGCCTACCTTTCTGGGTGTTAACCCCAGTCGATGGCAGACATGGAATGCCCCTAGGTACAAGGGGGTTTTCCATAGGCCATTGCTCCCCTTGCCTCTCTGAGGGGGGAGGGGGGCAAGGTTCTGGCTCGTGGTCCCCAGTAGGCTGAACTCCAATTGACTGATGCCCTGGACTAATATATCGCATATCAGTCCGACAGTTCCAGGGAGCCTCTGGGGCTCACCGAGAAAATGGTGGTTCATTACATTCAAAGCTAGTTTTTTGCCTTAATCTATCCCTCTGCTATCTAATATCAGTTTACAGCAGTCATTTTTTCCCATCTTGGTTTTGATTGACCATTGGCTGTTGTCTAGTATTATGTTGCCTATTTTCATTCAGCTTTGTGGAGCCTATCTTTTAGGCCACTTCATCTACGCCGTTATGGGTGGTATCTTGGGTTTTTGTTCCTTTGGCTAGTTCTTCTCTCTGAGCCTTCGTTTACTGGTTTGGATTCCTCATTATTTTGTTCCCATTTTTGGTACCACAACTGTGTTTCAGTCATCCTGTTCCAGCTCTTCTTTTTTGTCATAAATCTCTGTATATTCTGGCAGTCAAACAAGCAATGTATAGTTTGCATTCAGTATTGGTTGTTATTCCTTGGTATGAAATTAAGTGCAGGCAAAGTTTACTGGAATTAACACGTCTTTGAGAAAATTTATGGAAACTAAGGAGATTACTCAAGAAGTACAATGTATTAGATTATGTATTGAAAAGACAGATTGCTACCATAATAAAAAAATATAACATTTAAAATTAAATGAAGTGGTGTGTTATACTTAAGTAAGAAGAAAAACTATTGGAAGCTAATGAAATGGAAAAGGGAAATACAGTATATACGATTTTTTATTTTTTTATTTGCATAATTAAAATATTATAAGATCGAGGAAAGGTGCAGTACAATATATTACTGTAATTGCTTGAATTTGATGTTGATATATTTTTCAGTATTGTAGCAGTAGATGGAAACGGAATACTTCATCACCGACTTCATTTCTACACATCCTGCAGCAGATATTATTAAGTTACGTGAAAATTTAGCTACTGTTAGTGTTGGTTGTTTCAGTAAAAATAAATCCTTGTTTAGAGGATTTTAGTTTTAATTAAAACAATCTGAGAGTTGCAGTTGCTTATTTTGACACACACCAGTGTTGTGACTTGCTGTTTAGAGTCATAAATTGTACTTAAATTATGTTTGTATTGATCATTATAGAGTGGGGAAGATACGTGGCTAACATTCACATGTTGTGGTGGCCATTGCACAAAACAATCAGTATAATTTTATTTTGGGAATATGAATAGATGACTTGGTTAGATCCAGAGAGAATATAGAGACATCCCAGTTAGTATTTTATGCACCGAAGAAATAGACTGCTGTAATGTAGACTCGCAAATTAAAAAGATTGGCTAGATCCGGTGATTCGTGTTTAAGTATTTGTGCATTTATTAACTGACAATTGTGGATTATGATCTGCTGTGCATATAAAAAAAAAAAAAATCCTAAAATTTCTGATTGTTTGGATAATCAAGGTTTGAATTATATAACTCATCATTTTTTAGTTGGCATGTTATGCAGGACGAAATTATGGAATATTTCATCGTTGGTTATAAATTCATGTTTATTGTTTTGTCTTTTATGATAAAGTATTTTATGGAGCCTGGGGTATGGATACCCTACTCAATACCTGCATGAATTTTGTAGATTTTACTTTTTGACAAAAGTTCTTATGTTTACTACATGCTGTGCATCTAGACGTTCCCAAAATACTTGTAAGAGTAGTTACGGTATATTTTAGTGATGACAATGTTAGTAAAGTACAGCTATGGTAACCACTGCACAACTTGTGGCTTCAGTGCCTCCATCTATGGTGTACATCTTACTGGTATTTATTTTTGTAAAAATGTGTACAGACCTTAACAGCAAAATTTTGATATTTATTTAACTCGAATCTATTGGAATACAATTTTAAAAGTAGGGATTTTGAGTTTTGAAGCTTAAGCTAGCACATACAGCTTGCCAAATTGTTTGTAATTGATATTGGAAAATCAATCAATCTGCTAACTTTGTTGTGTTGAGGTTCTCTGTTTTATTGCTTCAAGTTTTACTTATATTCATGTCTGGCTGCATGAGGAGCAGTTTTCATGACTCATAAGATACCTAGACACGAAAAGTTTCATATTACTGTATGCTTACTCATAAGTTGTGTAAACTTCACAATTATTTTTTGAGGGAAAGTGCATTAATTGGTACTGTTTAAGGCAAAGTCTTCTTGATTTAGCGTTGTCTTGTGTGTCGTTTTTCTGACATTACTTGTGTATTATTTAACTCTGATTTACATGGCCTCTTCAACCGAGTTTTTAGCATCCTGTGATTACAAAACTTAACAAATCTTAAGATTAAATTGCGCAGACACCTTGATTATCCAAGATACATTACAGTGGACTATCCTATATCTCAAAATTTTTGGTAGAAAACTATGAAGTCCTGTCATCTTTTTTAATGCCACAATTGTGATAGAGTATAATCAATAAGATTCGTTAATGATGGAATTAAAAATAATAATGTCTTAAAATAATCTTATCTGTGAGGCCACGCACAATTATGCATTGATGTACTTTTTTTTTACATTTGTGAATCTTGTATATTAACATGACAGATTATTTAATGAATTTAGTTTTGCATTATATAATGTTTCCTTTTCCTTGTTAGTAAAAATTATTTAACAATTTTGATAATATAGAACTAAACATTAGTGACTGAAGATGTGTTGGGTAATATTTTTCTCACTCTTGCGCACGCACACACACACACACACACGCACACACACACACACACACACACAGAAGGGACAGAAGAGTAAGGGGAGACATGATCACAACCTACAAAATCCTCAGGGGGATCGACCGGGTAAACAAGGTTAAACTATTCAACACTGGTGGTACGCGAACAAGGGGACACAGGTGGACACTGAGTACTCACATGAGCCACAGGGACGTTAGAAGGAACTTTTTCAGTGTCAGAGTAGTTAATGGATGGAATGCATTAGGCAGTGATGTGGTGGAGGCTTGAGTCCATACAGTTTCAAATGTAGATATGATAGAGCCCAGTAGGCTCAGGAACCTGTACACCAGTTGATTGACAGTTGAGAGGCGGGACCAGAGAGCCAAAGCTCAACCCCCGCAAGCACAAATAGGTGAGTACACACTCACTCACTCACTCACTCACTCACTCACTCACTCACTCACTCAGAAGCAACAGTAGTAGGCCTTGAATAACTGATAGAGCAAATCAGTGACGAAACAGAACTTGCAGGCACTGATGAACTCGATAAGGCATTATTATTATTCTTGAAACTATAGTGATTTTGGTAAAGTGGGGAAGAATTCAGTTAGAACATTCAAATCAGAGTCTGGTTAAACAGCTTATTCAAGAAATATAGATGTGGCATCTACATGAGAGAAGGACAGGTGTTGTCGAGATGCGGGTGCTGACTCGTGTTTTTAGGTCTGAAAAGAAAGTTTCATGAATATGAAAGAAAAATTTATGATTGGCCTTGGAAGGGGGAAGCAGCGGGCTGTGTGATATCTGTGAAAAGATTTAGGAATCATGATATTTAGGGATGTCGAATCATAAAATTAATGCATAAATGTTTGAAATAAAACAAATATGATTTTCGGATTCATATCTAGAAGCATTAACAATATATATAATGATAAAATCCACTGGGGCTCTCGAGTGATTCAAACCTGCGACCAAGATACTGCCAGTCACATACATTCCTTTACCACTGTACCACTATTGACTTTGAAAAATCATACAACTGGTGTAATGTACTAGTTGGGAGCCATCTCAGCGAAATAGTTTTAAGGAACCACTCGGGCTCACCCAGAAAGAGACGTTTTGTTACATTTGACGCTGATTTTTTCTGTCATAAATCACCCTTGAGACCACTGGCAGATGTAGATTTCCAAAACCAAGCCATGAGTGAGGATGTAGGAAAAAAGTGGGATTGTAAAGTTGCCATGAAATAATTGCTTACTTACAACAGTTTAGTAATTGCTTTCAAAATTGTTGTATAGTATAGTACTGTACATCTCAATATTTCAATATTATTTATAATATTGAATAAATATTATAAATAATATTCAATATTATTTCTTTCTCTTTCAATATTATATACAGTAATACAGGTAAAACAAAATAATGCATTTATAAATTTATTTTATTTTAAATAATCAACTTACCAAGGCAGCAATTGGCTATAACAATCATGCACTGTTCTTAGGAATAATTAGAAATGGCGTGATAAAAACATCTGAGCATCGGTGAACAGACAACTCCTGAGTCTCGGAACAAAGTTAAATATTGGAAATATAATACTTTGATGCCATTATGGTTAGTGAGAGACGACCACTTTTAGTGTGAGGTGATCACCATCAGTGCGAGATGATCACCTACGCGGTGAGGTGACCACCATTAATGCGAGGCGTGGATTGGGTTGCTGTAACATCCGGCCAAATGGAACACATCTCCCTTAGTCTACATCGTGGCATTCACAATTGAGAAGGAAGTTAAATACATTGAAAGATGTACTCCAGTTCTCATTGTGTATACATAACATAGTTTACTTTAGCTCTGGACTACATCCAGGACTAGAATACTTGCCAATTGGTCAGATAGCTATTGTGGTGCCTCAATAACTCCCCCCCCCCCCCCCAGACATTGGTAGGCCATGAGCCTAACATCAGTTATGCTCAAGACCAGCCAGTAACACATTACCTACAAAATAATAACAATGAATGCTTAGTTAAAAAACATTTTTTAGCCCATTCTTTAGACAGCAACTAGTCAGGGTTTATTATAATTTAATTCATTCTGGACTGCCCTCAAGTTATGTTTTGTTGAACAGATTTCCTCTAGAGATGGGCTTGAGGTCTGGCCTTAAGTATAAGAGACAGTCATGGTGGGCAATGAAGAGAATGGTTGTTACACTGCAGCAGCAACAGGCTGCAAGAGCTGGCTAGCAGTAGGATGATCTTCAGACGTTGAGTTCCCTGGTGCGGGTTGAGTGAAGATGTCGTCCTGAAGGGTCGGGGCCCTGAGGCTGGCCGGCCGTGGGGGCATGTCGAGGCGATTGTTGACAACATTGCTGATCCACACGACGTACCTGCTCACCTGCACCAACACCTCGTGTTACATAGGTCATATATTGTGGCTTCACAACAAAATACTTAACTATAACACCATTTCCCTTATCTATTATTTGAAACCATCCAACTGTATTAATATGATCAGATTGTATGAACACACCAAAGTTCAAACAAAATCACATGACTCTTTTTTATAGCTAGTCATTAAAAATAATTTATCATTGTCGGGGACAGGAAGCCTGCGAGGCTCATCAAGGTCTACCCAAGGCCAACTAATGACCTTCCCCAGGATGAAACACACAAGTTACCTATCTCCCTGGTTCCTATTTACTATTAGGTGAACAGAGACATCAGGTACATGTAAACTTAAAATAGGTTTTGCCCTTGGAAATCGAAACTAGGAACATTACGTAAAGCAGACTGCACTGACTACCGAGCTATTGGAAATGTTGCTTAATTTTCACCCGAATTAATTTTTTAAATAATTTATTTCGAAGCAGAGTAAAGAATGAGTGTGAAGGAGCAGCAGAGTGAAGGCTCAATGTGGTGTTGTGGAGCAGATGAATGTAGTGGTGTGTGTTGTGGGTTAGGACCAGATGGAAGTCAAGCATGTTGTGGAGGAGCAGTGTTGTGGAGAGTGATGGTCAAGTGTGTTGTGGAGGAGAATAATAGTGAAGTGTTTTGAGGAAAAGTAGAGTGACAGTAGAGGAGATAGAGGTTGTGGAGGAGAAGCAGCAGAGTGAAGAATGAGTGTGTTGTGGACAAGTAGCAGAGTGAAAGTAGTGTGTTGTGGTCGAGGAGAGGTGTGGTGGAGGAGAGTGATGGCCAAGTGTGTTGTGGTGGAGGAGAGTGATGGCTAAGTGTATTGTGATGGAGGAGAGTGATGGCTGAGTGTGTTGTGGTGGAGGAGAGTGATGGCTGAGCGTGTTGTGGTGGAGGAGAGTGATGGCCGAGTGTGTTGTGGTGGAGGAGAGTGATGGCTGAGTGTGTTGTGGTGGAGGAGAGTGATGGCTGCGTGTGTTGAGGTGGAGGAGAGTGATGGCCAAGTGTGTTGTGATGGCAAGTGGGTGGACTTACCTCAGTGTAGACGCCGGGAACATTGGGTCTGGCACAGCCGATGCCCCACGAGACAACGCCCGCCAGGTAGTAGCGGTTGTCTCCTCCCCGGCAGACAAAGGGTCCACCAGAGTCTCCCTGCAACCAGTAGGGTCTTTAACCTGAACCAGCATCAACATTGTGAAGGCATAGTGATGTCACACACACACACACACACACAAATGTAAAACAGAACCAGGTCTATTCTATAAATTCATAAACAACAAATTGCAGGTAAAGGATAATATTCAGAGGTTGAAAATGGGAAATAGATTCACGGAAGATGAAAAGGAAATGTGTGAAACACTAAACGAAAAGTTCCAAAGTGTGTTTGTACAAAATGAAATCTTTAGGGAACCAGATACAATAAGAATTCCAGAGAACAACATAGAACACATAGAGGTGTCTAGAGACGAAGTGGAAAAAATGCTCAAGGAGCTCGGTAAGAACAAAGCAGCTGGCCCAGATGGCGTTTCACCATGGGTTCTGAGAGAATGTGCATCTGAGCTCAGCATTCCACTTCACCTGATCTTTCAGGCATCCCTGTGTACAGGAATCGTAGCAGACGGGTGGAAACAGGCTAACATAGTTCCAATCTACAAAAGTGGCAGCAGGGAAGACCCCCTCAATTATAGACCTGTATCATTGACAAGTGTAATAGTGAAAGTATTGGAAAAACTAATCAAAACTAAATGGGTAGAACACCTAGAGAGAAATGATATAATATCAGACAGACAGTATGGTTTTCGATCTGGAAGATCCTGTGTATCGAATTTACTCAGTTTCTATGATCGAGCCACAGAGATATTACAGGAAAGAGATGGTTGGGTTGACTGCATCTATCTGGACCTAAAAAAGGCTTTCGACAGAGTTCCACATAAGAGGTTGTTCTGGAAACTGGAAAATATTGGAGGGGTGACAGGTAAGCTTCTATCATGGATGAAAAATTTTCTGACTGATAGAAAAATGAGGGCAGTAATCAGAGGCAATGTATCAGAATGGAGAAATGTCACAAGTGGAGTACCACAGGGTTCAGTTCTTGCACCAGTGATGTTTATTGTGTACATAAATGATCTACCAGTTGGTATACAGAATTATATGAACATGTTTGCTGATGATGCTAAGATAATAGGAAGGATAAGAAATTTAGATGACTGTCATGCCCTTCAAAAAGACCTGGACAAAATAAGTATATGGAGCACCACTTGGCAAATGGAATTTAATGTTAATAAATGTCATGTTATGGAATGTGGAATAGGAGAACATAGACCCCACACAACCTATATATTATGTGAGAAATCTTTAAAGAATTCTGATAAAGAAAGAGATCTAGGAGTGGTTCTAGATAGAAAACTATCACCTGAGGACCACATAAAGAATATTGTGCAAGGAGCCTATGCTATGCTTTCTAACTTCAGAATTGCATTTAAATACATGGATGGTGATATACTAAAGAAATTGTTCATGACTTTTGTTAGGCCAAAGCTAGAATATGCAGCTGTTGTGTGGTGCCCATATCTTAAGAAGCACATCAACAAACTGGAAAAGGTGCAAAGACATGCTACTAAGTGGCTCCCAGAACTGAAGGGCAAGAGCTACGAGGAGAGGTTAGAAGCATTAAATATGCCAAAACTAGAAGACAGAAGAAAAAGAGGTGATATGATCACTACGTACAAAATAGTAACAGGAATTGACAAAATCGACAGGGAAGACTTCCTGAGACCTGGAACTTCAAGAACAAGAGGTCATAGATTTAAACTAGCTAAACACAGATGCCGAAGAAATATAAGAAAATTCACCTTCGCAAATAGAGTGGTAGACGGTTGGAACAAGTTAAGTGAGAAGGTGGTGGAGGCCAAGACCGTCAGTAATTTCAAAGCGTTATATGACAAAGAGTGCTGGGAAGACGGGACACCACGAGCGTAGCTCTCATCCTGTAACTACACTTAGGTAATTACACTTAGGTAATTACACACACACACACACACACACACACACACACCTCATCGACACCTACAAAACTGTACAGTATCTCATGTTTTCGTTTAATCAGATTAGGATAGTATAGGTTAGACCGAGTTGGGTTGGTTGGGTTATGTTTGTTTTTATAGAGTTTACCTATTTTTACTTGTATATTTGCTAAATTTGTTACTGTACAGTACTTATATATTCGTGGCCACGGCCTTGTATATCTGCAGTCTCCGTGGCGTAGAGGTAAGATGCTTATCTGGTGTTCTGCGAGCTCTTTGTCCTGGGTTTGGGTCCTGGCCGGGGAGGATTTACTGGGTGCAAATCCGTAACTGTAGACTCTGTTTAACTCAACAGTAAAATGGGTACCTGGTTGTAAAAAGGATTCTTCATGGGGGTCATATTCCAGGGAACATAGGATTAAGGACTTGCCCGAAACGCAACTCGTACTAGTGGCTGTACAAGAATGTATCATCTCGTGTGTGTGTGTGTGTGTGTGTGTGTATGTATGTAAGTATGTATTGTATTGTATTGTATTGTATTGTATGTATGTATGTATGTATATGGTATGTTATGGTATGTTATGGTATGGTATGGTATGTTATGGTATGTTATGTTATGGTATGGTATGGTATGTATGTGTATATATTATTTATATTATATATATATTATTATATATATATATATATATACTGTGTATATATATATATATATATATATATATATATATATATATATATATATATATATATATATATATATATATATATATATATATATATATATATATATATATATATATATGCGGAAAATCCACAGAGAAATATGAAAGGAGGTGAACGTTTCGGCTTTGTTAAAGCCTTTGTCAACACCAGACTGCAGTCTGGTGTTGCAGTCTGGTGACTGCAGATTGCAGTCTGGTGTTGACAAAGGCTTTAACAAAGCCGAAACGTTCACCTCCTTTCATATTTCTCTGTGGATTTTCCGCATAAAATGATCAGTGTTTTGTGATCGTCAATTGCATATATATATATATATATATATATATATATATATATATATATATATATATATATATATATATATATATATATATATATATATATATATATATATATATATATATATATATATATATATATATATATATATATATATATATATATATATATATATATATTTATTTATTTATTTTGTGACGATAATCTCTTTCAAGAGAGATTGAGCCTGCTCTTCTCTACATAAAGTTACGTATATTATACAACAATAAGATGCTACCTTCAAGATACGTCTACTAGTAGCACAAAACGTTTTGACCAGGAGGCAAACGTACCCAAGACTCCCCCCTACTCCACACTCCCTCCATGCCGGCTCCGTCATCAACCAGCAAACTACCATTCCCAGCTTGCCTGCTTCTGATTGGTGACCCGCCGACTGCACACCTACACCTCAGCGCCCTCTACAAGTCAATGTCTGGGCTTGAACCAGCCATTGAAGTCAGAATATTCTTGTGCTCTCAAGCCGTGAACAACTAACTGATATACGCTGTCTATCATGTGGATGTTTCTCAGCTAGTGCTATATTCTCAGCACCTGATTATTTTTCACTTTGTCTTTATATTATTATAGCATAACGTCATCCCTCTTCTTCATTTATGTTATATGTTTTTGACTTGTTTGTTTGCACTGTACATAGCCAAGGGATTGTCTTTGTTTTTAATATGTTTTCTATATTAATTATAGTTTCATTGTTCATACTATGTGTTTTGCGTGTCTTCCCTTACTTTACCACAGATAAACATCCAAGCAGTCTATCTTTTTTTGTAAGTGTGACTAGGCATTGACACCAGCCATTGGAGGACTGCCGAACATCTGCACTCCTACACTTTCCCGTCACAATATATATATACAGTACATACATACATACACACACACACACACACACACACACACACACATATACATATGCAGTGGCACCTCGACTTACAATTGCCCAGACTTACGATAATTTTGAGTTAGGATGCAAATTTGATAGAAAAATGCGACTCGACTTACGATAGTGTTGTTGACTAACGATATTTGTTGGTACACATTTGGGCTGACCGAGCACGTGGTTCCCGGTCACGCGGATTGACCTGCCTCAGTTTACTACAGCCGCCCGCTTAGTGACGATCACGCCTGTAATAAATTCTGTTTTTGTGGTGATTTTTTGCTTTTTGAACTTAAAACTGATTATTATATATCACTCCATGGGTCCCAAGAAAGTCAGTGGTAAGGCTCAACATATGAAAACCCATGTAAGGATGACCATAGAGCAAAAACAAGAAATCATTCGTAAATATGAAGATGGTGTGCGGGTTGTTGAACTAGCTGGCCTGTACAACAAATCTCAAGTCAACGATATCCACCATACTTGCTAAGTAAAAGGACATTATGAGTGCTAAAGTGGCAAAAGGCGTATCAATAATCACGAAACATAGAACACAAACACTTGAGGATGTTGAACAGTTGTTATTAATTTGAATACACAACAAGGAGTTAGCAGGTGATAGCGTTTCAGAGGCCATCATTTGTGGAAAGGCAAGAAAATTTCATGAAGATCTTATAAAGCAAACCCCTGGATCGAGTGATGCAGAAGGGAAAGAGTTTAAGGCGAGCAAGGGATGGTTTGAGAAATTTAGAAAAAGAAGTGGCATTCATAGTGTTGTGAGGCATGGGGAGGGTGCCAGCTCAGACAAACCAGCTGCTAAAAGATTTTGTGCAGAGTGAAGCATACCTACCACAACAAGTGTTTAATTGTGATGAGACTGGGCTACTCTGGAAAAGATTGCCGAAGAAAACGTACATTACCAAGGAGAAGTCATTGTCCGGACACAAGCCTATGAAAGATCGGTTTACTCTTGTGTTGTGGTAATGCGAGTGGCGATTTGAAAATTAAACCCTTGCTTGTGTATCATTCCAAAAATCCAAGGGTTTTCAAAAAATATAATGTGCAGAAAAACAAAATGTGTATGATGTGGAAGGCTAATGCTAAGGCATGGGTGACTAGGCAATTTTTTACGGAGTGGATGAATGAGGTGGTGTGCCCTGCCATAAAAAAATATTTGCAGGAGAACAGTTTGCCACTCAAGGCTCTGCTTCTCCTCGACAATGCTCCTGCCCATCCTCCAGGCTTGGAGGATTCATTGATGGAGGAATTTAGTTCTGTTACAGTAAAGTTCCTTCCTCCCAACACCACTCCTCTACTTCAGCCTATGGACCAGAAAATCATTGCCAATTTTAAGAAACTTTATGAAAGGGCACTTTTCCGGAGATGTGTCAAAGTGACGGATGCCACACAACTCACCCTCAGAGTTCTGGAAAAACCATTTTAACATTTGTAGTGCTTTAAAACTTGTAGACAAAGCCTGGCAAGAAGTGACTGTAAGAACCATGATTTCTGGCTGGAGAAAACTGTGGCCTGAATGTGTTGCAGAATGAGACTTTGAGGGGTTTGAGCCTGAACCTGAAGTGCCTCTCATTGAGGAAATTGTTTCTCTGGGTCGGCAATTGGGCTTGGAGTTGGATGGTGCTGATGTGGAGGAGTTTGTGGAAGAACACAACGAAGAACTGACCACCGAAGAACTCCAAACCCTTTAAAAGGAGCAGCAACAAGAGGTACTCCAGGGGAGGAGGTGCTAGTAGAGAATGTCCCTTCCTCAACAATTAAGAAATGTGTGCAGCATCTTAAGGTTATCTTAAGATGATTTCGGGGCTTTTTAGTGTCCCCGCGGCCTGGTCCTCGACCAGGCCTCCACCCCCCAGGAAGCAGCCTGTGACAGCTGACTAACACCCAGGTACCTATTTTACTGCTAGGTAACAGGGGCATAGGGTGAAAGAAACTCTGCCTGTGACAGCTGTTTCTCGCCGGCGCCTGGGATCGAACCCAGGACAACAGGATCACAAGTCCAGCGTGCTGTCCGCTCGGCCGACCGGCTCCCTCAGCATAGGAAGAACTGCAAACTTTTGCTGAAACAACTTACCCAAATTAATCTGCAGTAGGCCGTTGCTTTAACCTTTTCAATGACACTGTGATGCATCACTACAGACAAATGTTAAAACGAAGAGAAAAACAAGTTTCTCTTGACAAATTTTTAGTGAGACAAACAAGCAGTGAACCACAACCAGGTCCTAGTGATATTCAGGCAAAACGTAGGAGAGAGTGTACCCCAGAGAAAACATCACTGCCTGATGTGATAATGGAAGGGGACTCCCCTTCCAAACAGTAACACCTCTCCTCCTCCCCCCTCATTACCATCTTCCGTATGCCATCAAGAGCCCTCCATTAAGGTAAGATAAACATATGTACTGTATTGTAGTTAGAGAAAAAAAATTGTATTCAGTATAAAATGTATTTGTAAGTTAATATTTTGGAAGGTGGGGAATGGATTAATTCAATTCCCTTTATTTCTTATGGGAAAAATCGCTTTGACTTACGATATTTCGAATTACGATCCGTCTCTGGGAACGGATTAACATCGTAAATCGAGGCCCCACTGTATATATCATTATTACAGTGGAACCTTGAATAACGAATTTAATCCGTTCTGGCGCCGTGATCGTCATGTGAAACGGATGTCATACAAAACGAATTTCCCCATTGGCAATAATGGGAATCAAATTAATCCGTTCTACCACCGAAAACTTCAATATGATATTCGTTGTTTTAAATAATGGAGCAACCTACCTTACATACACTGAACAAACCTTATGACATTTTTCTTTCTTCAAATTTGTTTAATTTTTTTTTTATTTTTTTTATGGCAAAAGGTTCGTTCAATGCTCGGCAGGTAGGTTGCTCCATGTTTCTTAAATAAAAAAAAAAAAGAAAAAAAAGGAAATTTTTGAAAAACAGAACAAATGTCAAAAAGGTTTGTTTGGTGTTCGGCAGGTAGGCTGCTCCATGTTTCTTAAATAAAAAAAAAATAAAACTAAAAAAACAGTTGAAACAATTTGAAAAACGGGCAAATGCCATAAAGGTTTGTTCAGTGTTCGTCGGGTAGGCTGCTCCATTATGACAATCGTTCTTTGTTGCAAATGTGTTCCATTTGTTTTGTATTTTTCATTTATGTCTCAATAATGGAGCAGCCTACCCGACAAACACTGAACGAACCTTTATGGCATTTATCTGTCTTTCAAATTGTTTCAACCGTTATTTTTACTTTTCGTTTTTTTTTTTTTATTTAAGTACCTGCCTGAAATGCTATACATGCTACTGTAATAGATTTGCAAGACTGTCTCCTCAATCACCAACAAATGTACTTTCACAACCCATTGTACCTTCTTGTATATAAATAAATACCCAATAAGTAAATAAATAAGAGTAGTGATGATGTTGGGGGTACACACTTTTACAGGTCTTAGACCAGACACCTCTACCCAGCAACCCTACCCTGCAGACCTCCCACCACGCCTCCACAAACAGTACATAAATATTTTTTTGTGAATTAATTGCTTTTTGCATATTTTTTCTCTCTTTAATTTTCACCAATAGGTATTGATGACTTATTTATAGCTTTAATTTTGTGCAATGTAAAATGTTTGTATAATTCTACTTTATTGTATTACCTGGCAGGCATCCTTGTTCCCGAATCTATAGCCAGCACACATCATTGTCTCTGCGATGGGGCCGTTGTAGCCGATACCTTGGTAGCTCTGTTTACACACAGAGTCGCTTATAATGGGCACCACCACCTTCCGGAGGAGGTCTGAGGTAGCTCCGTCCTCCACCACCTTGCCCCATCCAGACACCACACAGTTACCTGCCACACAGATGATAATGTGAGTGACAGCAGCAGAGAGACCACCCTCAACACATGACCCAAGTTGGCATTTTTCTTCAACAGCTTACACGAATGCCAAATTAATGCGATAGGGATAGATGGGCTTAAGAGGCTAATTGCTAATCTGTAGATGGACTGGCACTTTGAAGCAACATACTGTACATGATACTTATTAATACAAGTAGGACTATAGTGAGCAATGATTCTGTTTAAGATCTGCAACCGAATATATATTTGACAAATACGTATTGGGTGTGACTTATACAAGAAGCATTACACCTACCTGAGAAGGTGATATCAGGAGCCGGCATGCAGATGGGAGAGACGGTCATGCCGTCAAGCTGGAGGGGTGTAGCTAGCTTGAGGAGGGCGATGTCATTCTCCTGGGAGTTGCTGTTGTAGAACTGGTGCTCTATGATGCGCTCTATGTATCTCGTCTGCTCTGTGCCTGCAACACATGCATCGTCTCTCTAACAGGGTTCAGTTCTTGCACCAGTGATGTTTATTGTCTACATAAATGATCTACCAGTTGGTATACAGAATTATATGAACATGTTTGCTGATGATGCTAAGATAATAGGAAGGATAAGAAACTTAGATGACTGTCATGCCCTTCAAGAAGACCTGGACAAAATAAGTACATGGAGCGTCACTTGGCAAATGGAATTTAATGTTAATAAATGCCATGTTATGGAATGTGGAATAAGAGAACATAGACCCACACAACCTATATGTTATGTGAGAAATCTTTAAAGAATTCTGATAAAGAAAGATCTAGGGGTGGTTCTAGATAGAAAACTATCACCTGAGGACCACATAAAGAATATTGTGCGAGGAGCCTATGCCACTCTTTCTAACTTCAGAATTGCTTTTAAATACATGGATGGCGATATACTAAAGAAATTGTTCACGACTTTTGTTAGGCCAAAGCTAGAATATGCAGCAGTTGTGTGGTGCCCATATCTTAAGAAGCACATCAACAAACTGGAAAATGTGCAAAGACATGCTACTAAGTGGCTCCCAGAACTGAAGGGCAAGAGCTACGAGGAGAGGTTAGAGGCATTAAATATGCCAAAACTAGAAGACAGAAGAAAAAGAGGTGATATGATCACTACATACAAAATAGTAACAGGAATTGATAAAATCGATAGGGAAGATTTCCTGAGACCTGGAACTTTAAGAACAAGAGGTCATAGATATAAACTAACTAAACACAGATGCCGAAGAAATATAAGAAAATTCACTTTCGCAAACAGAGTGGTAGACGGTTGGAACAAGTTAGGTGAGAAGGTGGTGGAGGCCAAGACCGTCAGTAGTTTCAAAGCATTATATGACAAAGAGTGCTGGGAAGACGGGACACCACGAGCGTAGCTCTCATCCTGTAACTACACTTAGGTAATTACACACTCATGCCAAACACCCCTTCTATTATACAAAAACAAACAATGACTTGCTATTACTGTAGTTATTGAAGATAGAACTGCAGTGACTTATTTTTACTTTTTACTTATAAAATTTTACTGAACAATTTGGAGGATGTTGATCTGGACAATTTCTTCAAAAGGTCAGATGTAACACAAACAAGGGGCGACATCTTAAAGCTCAGCAAGCCATAATGTAGGACTGAAAACAGGAGATTCTTTTTCACCCACAGGGTTATTAACCCATGGAACTGCCTACCCGCCAAAGCCATAACTGCTAAAACTGTTACATTTTAAAATCCAACTGGTACAGGTCATTAAGGCAAATGGTGGGGACCTTTGACAAGCCGCCAGCTTCCTGTCCTTGTCGAGCCCACTAGTGGTAGTGGCCCTCAGGTAAAATTCAGGTAAATTAACATAATACCCATAGATTTGTAGCAAAGAAAATACAATAATAATGGAGGATGGGTTAAATTTAGTGTTTATCATTTAAAGTCTTTTGTTGCATTTAATGACTAAAATCCTAAAATTTACTTAAGATGACTGAAAATTTGCTTTTAAGTCATTACATAATTTGAGGCTTAAGTAAATGTGTAGCTCTGGGTTTATTAATATACGTCCCCTTACTCGACTAGATCTACCTCCCAATACCCCTTCCCTATTTCCTAAATAATCCTTTCCCTACAAATCCCCTACTCAGTATTCCTTACCCACACAATCTATTCCACCCTTCCCACCTCACCAGCAGAGACAGAACAAGTCCACCGCTACCAGCAGGGACTGATAATGCCATTCCAATGCCACCTTCAATAACCCATCAGTGACAATTCTCTGCCACCAGCAGGGACTGACAGAGCCAGTCCTCACCTTCCTTGTGCTTCAGTTGGTGATCACCAGCCACTACCAGGAGGTCCTTGGGTGTGTACTGGTGGGTACAGTGGGCGGCCGTCAGCACCCAGTTCTGGTCGATGACAGTGGCGCCGCAGATGTGGTAAGTGTACCAGTTGTACCGCCACTGTAGGGACACCTGCCACGGGAACTCGTCTGTAGGAGGCGCAAAGGTTGGGTGTTAGTCCTTAGAGCCAAGTGTAGTCATATTTGTATCCTCTTCAAGTTCAAGTTCAAGTATGTTTATTGAGATAAGTGTATCCTCTTTATATTCTCTCATACATTTAACTGCTAACAATTTTACTTAAAATAATTTACTGTTGTAATATAATGAAGAGTTTGGCATTATTCTGTACATGTTGACCTGGATAAAGTTACAGAACCTAATAAGTAGGGAAGGAGAAGTCTGACAATGGTGGGAGACTTCAGGAGTTTGACAATGCAGGTGAATCTTCAGAACACCGACACTAAGGATGGGCCTTCAGAAGTTTCTCAATGGCAGTGACCTTCAGTAGTCTGATAAGGAAAGGGGTCAATAGAAGTCTGACAATAGTGGTGGCTTTTACAAGTCTGACAATGAAGGTGGACCTTCAAAAGTCTGAAAATGGAGTTGGGCCTTCAGAAACCTATCAAGGGAGAGGTGGGGGTGGGGGGGGGGGAGCCTTCAGGAACCTGACGAGGGAGGGGTCCTTCAGGAACCTGACGAGGGAGGAGTCCTTCAGGAACCTGATGAGGGAGGAGTCCTTCAGGAACCTTACGAGGGAGGGGTCCTTCAGGAACCTGACGAGGGAGGGGCCCTTCAGGAACCTGACGAGGGTGAGGGCCTTCAGGAACCTGACGAGGGAGGGGTCCTTCAGGAACCTTACGAGGGAGGGGTCCTTCAGGAACCTGACGAGGGTGAGGGCCTTCAGGAACCTGACAAAGACTTCCAACACATTCACAACACATGTGCACCATACCGCAGTGTGCAGCTCCGGCATTGTGCCCCCACGAGTAGAGAGCACACCAGCGAACACTGAGAAAGTACCGAAGTGTGAAATAAGTCTGGTCCCAGAACTGAGCGAACTATGAGACCAGCCTGTTGCAGCTGAATCTGATGTTAGACCAAAAAATTAAACTCCGAGAGGACATGATTACGACATACAGCAACATGATAGACATGTGCACAAATTTTTTAATTAAACAGCAAAAGGAAAGATATCTTTAGTTATAGGGAACTAAATGTAATGATTTAAAATGATAGAGTTGGGGGCAACGTCTATCTGTATATTAAATATGGCAGGGGATGCTGGGGTCCGGACTCCATTGTAGTAGACGGCATATAGTTGGAAAGATGGGACCCAAGAGCTGAAGATCGATCGTGCACGTGTGTTAGGTAATTACTCACGGGACTCTGCTGGGAAGCCTCCGACGATCCTGGTGATGATGTCTGGCACAGAACTGTGACGGATGCCACACACCTCGTTGTTGCGCTCATCTCCCACGCCCGCAAGCCTGTGGGGCATGCTCAGGGTCAGGGGCATGCTCAGGGGCAGGGGCATGCTCACGGTCAGGGAGCATGCTCACGGTCAAGGGCATGCTCATGGTCAGGTGTTCAGGGACACATTCAGGTGTTCAGGGGACACATTCAGGTGTTCAGGGGACACATCCAGGAGTTCAGGGACACATTCAGGGGTTCAGGGACACATTCAGAGGTTCAGGGACACATCCAGGGGTTCAGAGACACATTCAGGGTCAATTTTAGGGGATCAGGGGACATACTCAAGAGTTCATGTGCATTTTCTTATATACAAGAGCAAGATGATAATAATAATAATTATAACCAATTAATGATCATTATGTTTATTATAGCTCTATATTTTACCTGGTTTTACCCGAAGACTACAACACATTAGTGGCATTGACGACTACAGGAAGCTGGTGGTTTGTCAAAGGTCCCCCATTTATCCTGACGATTGTTTCAATCTGGATTTTAAAGTTCAGCAGAGTTTTGGCATTTACAGCTTCGGCTGATAGGCGGTTCCATGGGTTTATAACACAGGGTGGAAAAGAATCTCCTGTTCTCAGTCCTACATTGTGACTTGTTGAGCTTGAAACCGTTGATCCTTGTTTTGTACATTTGACCTTTTTGAAGAAATTTTCTGGATCAACATCCTCCAAATCATTGTGGTCATGATGCAGGTCGACGGCCTCATTGTGGTCATGAGATCACCTCATCCATCTTTGCCTCTTCTAGCATCTCCATTTTTGTTTTTACCAGTTAGTATAGGAGCAGACGACTTGTGAATGCTGTTAAAGGCTTAGAGCTTTACCTTCCCATAGTTCATGGTAACCCTTGCCCTACTAGTTTTCCCTGTAACACAACCTATCAATCAGCTCACAACCAACTTCCCATTTACTGTTGGGTGAACAGGGACAAAGAGTTAAGGTTCGGTACCCATACTATTCACCCTTACTAGGGCTCGAACCGAGACTAGGTCGCTGGCGGTGCGTGTCCGTAAAACCCGAGAGTGGAGATCAAGACGAAGATAGCAACATTAAGCGATCTCTTGATTGATAAGAATGACTTAGTAAAAGAGTAAGAGATGCAGGGAGGAGAGAAGAGAGATTATACAGGAGCAGCAGAGGAAAACGGCCGCTACTGGCCAAACCAATCCGGGTGATGCTCTTATGTTTGCTCTGGGTGACGGCGTCTGTTGACCTGCTGTTGAGGCATCAGCAATGTTCGCATGTCTATGTACGCTGTGTTGTACACTTAATGTGCACGGTGAGTTGTGCACAGTGAGTGTTGTGCACCTAATGTGCACGGTGAATGTTGTACACCTAATGTGCATGGTGAATGTTGTACACCTAATGTGCACGGCGAGTATTGTACACAATGTGCACGGTGAGTGTTGTACGCCTAATGTGCACGATGTGTAATGAAATAGGTTGAAGACTACCTCACAGGGGGAAAAGCTAAGGTCTGCTTCAATGGAGCAGTCTCAAGAACAATGAATATGGAACTCGATATCCCCCAAGAAGGCGTCTTAAGCCCCACACTATTTAATGTACTTATGAACGTCATTGCAAATATTGATATTCCGGTAGGGATGCAACAAGTGGGGTATGCAAATGATGTGCTAATACAAGCCCCAACCTTCGGAAAAATTAAACAATCCATTGAACTCCTTGGAAGGAAATGTATCGAGCTTGGTTTCACTCTCTCCGCAAACAAGACAAAAACATACTCTCATCACAGGCGGGGAGAAAATGAAGAACTACAAATTAATGGTGTAACACTTGAATGGGTTGACCCCTACAGGTACCTTAGCGTCATTGTTGGCTCCAACAAGGAAAGAGGAGCTCAACCAACTCATAGGAACATGCAAAAGTCGACTCAGGGCACTGAAAGCTATGATCTAGAGCCTCTATTGCCGTGCTTAAAATGATGTACGCAGCCTATGTGACTATGCCGCACCAGTTTTATGCACCTACTGTCAAAGCGATATGAAAAGGCTCGAAAGCATACAAAATGAAACCATGACAATCATTCGTGGAGTGCCAAGAACTGCCAAAGCGTCTAATCTACGAGAGGAGTTGTCCCTCCCCAGTGTTAAAAACAGAATTAAGGAACTGAATGCTAAACTTGCAATTAGGATAGTCAGAGATCCGCATTACAATGATATTGCCAAGAAAAAACTGAGTTCTGTGCTGCTTACAGGAAGAAACAGGAGAAACAAAAAATGCCATCACAGATCAGTCTCATATTCGAAGAACTTCACCTGCTTGAGCAAGCCCGTGAGCTCCTGCATGTAGAGAGGTTACCTCCCTGGGAGGATAACTCATGCAGGATCATCATCAATGAAATGACAACGAAAAAATCCAACATGATACCACAAGAAATGAGGCACAAGTATCTCGGGTAAATTTATAAAGAAGCCGGCGATGAATTAGATCAACTCTACACTGACGGGTCATCTAATCCTGTCAATGACAGGACTGGTGCAGCACACACTGTAATTAGTAATAATGTCCTTCAACGCAGAAATTAAGGAAAAGCACTTATTGAGAACTATGCCTCTTCAACGCAAGCAGAGCTAACTGCTATTGTTTTGGTGTTAAGATTCATTGAAAGAAACACTGATGGTGCAGTGATCTGCACTGATTCAAAAGCAGCGCTACAAAGCCTAAGTAAAAATCGGGCAGAAAATTTTGTGATAGTCGCTGAAATTAAGAGAGCTGTGAGGGTACTAACCAACCAAGGAAGGGTCGTCAAGTTTTTGTGGATCCCCTCCCATGTTGGAATATGTAGAAATGAACGAGCAGATGTGCTGGCTGCTGAAGGAGACCACATTGAATTCTTCATACCCCAAGATTCTTCTACAAATTAGAGGTATTGTCAGGCAACATCACCGTGACAAGGTAACCGAGGAAAGGCGGATAGAAACACGAATCAGTGAATCTGTACGCTAGTACAACAAGGCTGCAGCTGGCAATGCCAATTATTATGGACGAAGAGGTGGGGGCCGCGGGAGAGAATCAGTAATAGCCAGAATCCGTCTTGGATACAAATAAAAATGGAGATTCGGAATGGAAACAACAGTTGAGCAGTGGAGTTGCAGAATCTGTGATGAGAGTGACGGACACTGCCTTGACCACTATCTACGTGAATGTGAACATCTGAGAAGCATTAGAAATATGTGTAGAATAATAAACCCCACATTGTTTCAGTTAGGAAGACACTATTTGTCAAATATTGATACTGCTCTTAAAAGATTCCCCCATTTTGCACCCGCAAGATAACGTAAGCTTTTAAGGATTAACAGATGTTAATCATCTTGTTTGAGGAGCTGTTCACTTGAGACAGTTAAGCAAGTCCCAGCTAAGTCTGTGTACGAGTGACAGGATGAACAACCCAGCGGGTTTTCTTCCTATTGGGGAGTGTTGTACATGCTACTATGACGGTATGTCCACTCAGGTTGAGTGGCGCTGCCCAATAAACTCGCCCCTCGGGGCAAAATTAAAAAAGAAATTTAGGATGCATCTAAATAATGTAGGTGCAGCTATACAGCACTACAGTATGTACAGCTAAACAGCACCACTGTACGTACAGCAGCAAGCAAGAGAACATGTTTCTGTCATTAGGACCACCGTGGCGTGTTAACAGGACGTCCAGGTGGCTGGCCGCACAAAAGATCTTATATATATATATATAGTTCTCAGCTGTTGTGTTTGAGGAAGATCTGACAGTCACTTGGTCAAACACGCCAGGCTGCCCCACCGTCCTTCCCCGCTCACCTTACCCTCCACCTCACCCTGCTAATGTGCATTTTCTTAAGAAAATTCATTCCTGCTTCACATATTTTCCTGACAACAGTGCGGGTGTCTCTCACAACTAAATGAAACCCAGCAGTGGGTCGACTCATTGTATCCTCCGGCAAAATAATTCTAGTTTGGGATCATTTTTTCTCACCTGTTACGGAACTGTTAAAATATTTGATTTAAAACTTTACAAAAATATAGCTAGCTTTGATTTTTGTAGTTCATTACCGCAGAATCTTACTTAAGTAAATGACCGGTGGGATCCAGCACCTCTTGAGTATTAATGAAGGCAATAAGCCATTTCCAGGACTCTATATCAGGTCGTTCAGCTCTGGTAGCACGCCAGGGTCTTACTACACAACCTCACGCCCCTCGGTGGTGGTCGTGGGAGGGATTGGCGCCTAGTCAATCTCTCTCCGGCCAGGAAATGAACCCAGGCCAAATCGCTTGCGAAGCGCGGGGCGAGTATGTTACCCGACAGTGTGGGTGATGGGATGTAATCTAACCTTTCTAGTGTGACCACTGATGTAAAATAATAATTTAGAGTGTTTGCTGCCCTTTTATCATCTTGAGGTTATCTTGAGATGATTTCGGGGTTTAGCGAGGACCGCGGCCCGGTCCTCGAGTAGGCCTCCTTTTTGTTACACACATCTCTAGGAAGCAGCTCGTAACATCTGTCTAACTCCCAGGTACCTATTTACTGTTAGGTGAACAGGAGCACCAGGGTGAAAGAAACTTCCCATTTGTTTCCGCCTCCACCGGGGATCGAACCCAGAACCTCAAGACTACGAATCCGAAGTGCTGTCCACTCAGCTGTCAGGCCCCATTATAGCCCTATCATCCATTATAGCTTGGTTAGTGTGATGTATTTAGGGTCCTACTGAGTCCTTTGTTTAGATTTTACCTCATGTATAGGCATAGAACGATTTTTGATCTTTATTTATGTTTTGGCCAATTTTTCTTTCATAATTTTCTTTGGCTGATCTGATTTCCTGGGTGGCTGAGTTTAGTGGCCTTTTATATATCTCAATGATGTCCATCGTGGATTTATACCTGCTCCAGGGGCTCCGCTTAGTTATCAATGCTTGTTTTACTGCCCGTGTCATCCATCTTGTTCCCTTTATTTTCTTTCTTTTTTTAGCACATATTTTTGAACGAGTTCCGTGATGACCATGAAGTTTTGCCAAGATGCTTCCATGCCATGTTTACCTATCAGCTCCCTCCAGATGGTTTGCAGTTCCTCTCTCATTCCGTGATAGTTAAGATAGTAAGAAACTACTACTACAGCATCTACTAAGATGCTGTAGTAGGCATCCAGCAGTCTCTGGAGACTATGGAGTTGCGCTCTGGTTGCCGAGGCTGGAGTGTCCTCTCCAGGGCGCAAAGCCTGGGTAGGTCGATATGGAGACCTACGCCAAGATAGTAGAAACCTTGAAGGTATATATATTTCATCATATATGTGCCGAGCTTCAGACAAAAGCACGATACAGTTATGCCTTGAAGATCTAAGGAAAGGTAGGATGAGACTTACGCTTCCCTGGTGGGTGGGATGAAGATGACTGAGCGAGGCTGTGCCTGGTGGAGTTGGACGCTGCCTGCTACTTCCTCTCCGGCTGGTCCCTCCGTCATGGTGCCTGTAGGAGAGAGACGTCAGTACCTGCTAACACGGAATATATATACTTAATGATGATCCCAGTTTCTCAGACAATATTCACTGAGAAGTGAGCCCCGTACACTACCATACAAATCACAATTATCAGTGACCCTATTGACTCCTTAATTGCGCATGACCACCGCGGGGTGCAACACAGCCCGCACTATGGCAACACACAGCCCGCACTATAGCAATACAGCCCGCATTATGGTAACACAGCCCGCACTAAGGCAACACAGCCTGCACTATGGCAACACAGCCCGCACTAAGGCAACACAGCCTGCACTATGGCAACACAGCCCGCACTATGGCAATACAGCCCGCACTATGGCAATACAGCCCGCACTATGGCAACACAGCCTGCACTATGGCAACACAGCCCGCACTATGGCAACACAGCCCGCACTATGGCAACACAGCCTGCACTGTGGCAACACAGCCCGCACTATGGCAACACAGTCCGCACTATGGCAACACAGCCCGCACTATGGCAACACAGTCCGCACTATGGCAACACAGTCTGCACTATGGCAACACATCCCACACTATGGCAACACAGTCCGCACTATGGCAACACAGCCTGCACTATGACAACACAGCCCGCACTATGGCAACACAGTCCGCACTATGGCAACACAGCCTGCACTATGGCAACACAGCCCGCACTATGGCAACACAGCCCGCACCATGGCAACACAGCCCGCACTATGGCAACACAGCCCGCACTATGGCAACACAGCCCGCACTATGGTAACAGCCCGCACTATGGCAATACAGCCCGCACTATGGCAATACAGCCCGCACTATGGCAATACAACCCACACTATGGCAACACAGCCTGCACTATGGCAACACAGCCCGCACTATGGCAATACAGCCCGCACTATGGCAACACAGCCCGCACTATGGCAACACAGCCTGCCCTATGGCAACACAGCCTGCACTATGGCAACACAGCCCGCACTATGGCAACACAGCCCGCACTATGGCAACACAGCCCGCACTATGGCAACACAGCCCGCACTATGGCAACACAGCCCGCTCTATGGCAACACAGTCCGCACTATGGCAACACAGCCCGCACTATGGCAACACAGTCCGCACTATGGCAACACAGCCCGCACAATGGCAACACAGCCCGCACTATGGCAACACAGTCCGCACTATGACAACACAGTCCGCACTATGGCAACACAGCCCGCACTATGGCAACACAGCCCGCACTATGGCAACTCGGCCTGCACTGGCAACACAACCTGCACTATGGCAACACTGCCAGCACTATGGCAACACAGCCTGCACTATGACAACACTGCCAGCACTATGGCATCACAGCCTGCACTATGGCATCACAGCCTGCACTATGGCAACACAGCCTGCACTATGGCAACGCAGCCTGCACTGTGGCATCACAGCCTGCATTAGGGCAACGCAGTCTGCACTATGGCAACACAGCCCACACTATGACATAACAGCCTGCACTATGGCAACGCAGCCTGCACTATGGCATCACAACCTGCATTAGGGCAACACAGCCTGCACTATGGCATCACAGCCTGCACTATGGCAACACAACCTGCATTATGGCATCACAGCCTGTACTATGGCAACATAGCCTGCACTAGGGCAACACAGCCTGCACTAGGGCATCACAGCCTGCACTAGGGCAACACAGCCTGCACTATGGCAACGCAGCCTGCACTATGGCATCACAGCCTGCATTAGGGCAACGAAGCCTGCACTATGGCAACACAGCCTGCATTAGGGCAACACAGCCTGCACTATGGCATCACAGCCTGCACTATGGCAACACAGCCTGCACTATGGCATCACAGCCTGCATTAGGGCAACACAGCCTGCACTATGGCATCACAGCCTGCATTAGGGCAACACAACTTGCACTAGGGCAACACAGCCTGCACTATGGCATCACAGCTTGCATTATGGCATCACAGCCTGCACTAGGGCAACACAGCCTGCACTATGGCATCACAGCCTGCATTAGGGCAACACAGCCTGCACTATGGAAACGCAGCCTGCACTAGGGCAACACAGCTTGCATTATGGCATCACAGCTTGCATTGGCATCACAGCCTGCATTAGTGCAACACAGCCTGCACTATGGCATCACAGCCTGCACTATGGCATCACAGCCTGCACTATGGCATCACAACCTGCACTATGGCAACACAGCCTGCACTATGACAACACAGCCTGCACTATGGCATCACAGCCTGCACTATGGCATCACAGCCTGCACTATGGCATCACAGCCTGTACTATGGCAACACTGCCAGCACTATGGCAACACAGCCTGCACTATGACAACACTGCCAGCACTATGGCATTACAGCCTGCACTATGGCATCACAGCCTGCACTATGGCAACACAGCCTGCACTATGGCATCACAGCCTGCACTATGGCAACACAGCCTGCACTATGGCATCACAGCCCGCACTATGGCAACACAGCCTGTACCTGCACCATCACTAGTTTGATTTCTTTGTGTATGTGAAGCTGGAATGTACGGGTGATGAACTACCTTACCTACACCAAAGTGCTTGGGATAATACGTAAAACTTGGACTAGCTTCAGTAGAAGCCTCCATACTCAACCTGTCCTCGACTCAAGTCCATTCCATCCAGCGGTCGACCCCACGGACGCATTCATGAATTTGTACATGCTGTTTATTCAAAACGGGAATTTTCTCAAATATAAATTAATATTATAATATATTAGCATATTGTGCGTACATAGGTATAGGTTAGGTTAGGTTAGGTGTTGGCGATAATTTGTATTTGCAGTACGTAGGTGAAGCATTTACAGCGTTGTGGTTCGAACAAAATTCGTCAGTGAAGCACTTGTTCCAGATATGTTCGAACGTCAACAGTTGTGAGTCGTGTGTAAACCGTTTTTCATTCATAAACAGGGGGTTTGGCGGGTGCATGGAATCACTTTTGGATCTTTGTTTGGAGGACGGGCTGACTCACAACCAGCTGCGCACCTTACCCCTGAACCATGCAGCCCGTCCTCGTATACAAACATCCCAGCCCGTCCTCCAAACAAAGATCCAAAAGTGATTCCATGCACCCGCCAAACCCCCTGTTTATGAATGAAAAGCGGTTTACACACGACTCACAACTGCTGACGTTCGAACATATCCGGAACAAGTGCTTCACTGACGAATTTTATTCGAACCACAACGCTGTAAATGCTTCACCTACGTACTGCAAATACAAATTATCGCCAACACCTAACCTAGCCTAACCTATACCTATGTACGCACAATATGCTAATATATTATAATATTAATTTATATTTGAGAAAATTCCCGTTTTGAATAAACAGCATGTACAAATTCATGAATGCGTCCGTGTGGTCGACCGCTGGATGGAATCGACTTGAGTCGAGGACGGGTTGTACAAATACAAATAATCGCCAGCAGAACCAAAACACCTAACCTAACCTATGCCTATATATGCACAATATGCTAATATATTATAATATTAATTTATATTTGAGAAAATCCCCGTTTTGAATGAACAGCATGTAAAAATTAATGAATGCGTCTGTGGGGTCGACCGCTGGATGGAATCGACTTGAGTCGAGGACGGGTTGAATAGTCGTATCGTGGAGGAAAAGTTGTGTAAAATACATTTAATCGAATGCTGCCTGAAATGAATTTGTATCCTTTGTTTCAGAGACGGGTTGCATAATTCTCCATCAAATAGTGGTTATTAACCCTAGAGCCGAGGAAACTTTGGTGAGGAGTGATGGGAGGAGGTGGCGCCACACCGTCTCCACGCTCCCAAGGGTGCTACAGTGAGCCCACTTACAGTAACACGCTAATTACCAGTACAGTACACACCCTCCCCCCCAGCCTGTGAGGTGAGACTGGGGACGGTGACTGGCTCCTTGTGGCGCCTGGAGCCGGATCACCTCCAGTTAGACCAGGTGAAGCTGCAGGGGTGAAGCTGCAGTTGTGAAGCTGCAGGGGTGAAGCTGGAAGGTAGGGGGTTATGGGGGCAGGAGCCTGGTGACTAAGGCCACACTACCCATGACACAGGCAGCCACACCTCCCATAACACAGGCAGCCACACCACCCATGACACAGGCAGCCACACCACCCATGACACAGGCAGCACACCACCCATGACACAGGCAGCCACACCACCCATGACACGGGCAGCCACACCACCCATGACACAGGCAGCCACACCACCCATGACACAGGCAGCCACACCACCCATGACACAGAACGCACCTGGTATGCACAGAACTACTAAACTCAACTAATGAGGTGGTAGAGGTACTTGGAATTAAGGTAGAGAAAATAACCTAATTATTATTCTAATATATAAACCGCCAGATACAACGTTGAGGAATTCACAGAGCAGATGCACAAAATAGAGAACATACTTGATAACCTAGCAATCCCAGCTCCAGATATTATCTTCCTTGGAGATTTCAATTTACCGATTCTAAGATGGAGAATGGCAAACACAAATATCATAGCAGGGAATGACCCGGGAAATAACCAACCACAGGTCAGAGAACTTTTGAGATTCTGTGACAAATTCTCGCTCAATCAACAGATTACAGAACCAACTAGGAACGAAAACACACTAGACTTGTTATTCACAAACAATGATGAACTAATTAGAGACATAACAATCTCAGATACTTCATACTCAGACCATAAGCTCATTGAAGTGCGAACTAGCATTAATAACTGTAGTAGGTCCAAGAGACCCAACAAGCGAGAAGGAATATTCAATCAATTCAATTTCAACAATAAGAGGATTGACTGGGAAAAAATAAATGTAGACCTTGCAACCATTCAATGGGAGACGGTCTTAAGCGACAAAACTCCTACACAGGGAATAGCTCAACTGACAGCTGAAGCTTACAAGGTCTGCTTGAAGCACGTGCCTGTGAGGAGGGGCAGAAAGAACACCACTCTAGAAAGAGAACGCAGACGACTGTACAGGAGAAGGAAAAAAATAAAGGAAATGCT